GGTTTTATTTTTACTTCAGATAAGAGAAATTGGATACCAGTTTATCAAAACAAACTGTAGCTTGCAGAGGGAGCAGGAAAAGAGTGACAGGTATTTGATATGCTAAACATGGTTCCTACTAGTTCATAAAACTGAGCAGTTGAGTTATTGGTAGCCCAAATTAAGTTGTACCAAAGTTTAGGATTAGTCTTCCTCTTAGTACAGATATTAAGATAGTTTGAGAAACTAACTGGAGGGCTGATATAAAGAAACCATAGTAACCAAAAATTTATTATTGTTAGATCTAAGTTTAAAGAGGCAGCTGCCCATCCCAAACCATTTCCCTGTAGATTGTGTACTGTTGGAAGAAAACTCATTCCCTCTGCCCTAATCTATTTGCATATTGTTAAGTGTGTTAGTATTGGCTCATCCAAAAGGACTTTATGTAGTGAAAGTGACTAAAAATGGATTTATGCTAATATTACCTGCTTCCTTTAGTATGTTTTTCCATAGTAGATAAAGATTTCATGGATATTGGATATTTCATTGCTAGACAGGGAAAAAGCACCAAAATGAAACCCTTTTCATTTATTTTTAGAGTTTATTTTATTTATTTATGAATATAAGGGTTGGGGTTAGGCCAGAGGTGTAGGGATGGGGTGAGATTCACCGTGAGACAGAGTAGGGAGCAGAACAAGACTGACTGAATTACACTGCTGAGAGGAGTAGTGGGCCGGTGTGACAGGAGAGGTCTGCTGTGCCATGTGAGTTAGTTCCCCAGGTCCTGGATCCAACTCATGCTGCAGTGGCTGCCTGTAGCTTCATAGTGCTGAGACTTAATGCCTTGACCCACTAGAGAGACCACCCCCATCCCCTTTCATTTATTTACAAGAACTTTCATTGCTGAAGATTTTAAAATATTTTTCCCTTATAATTCACTCTATGAACAATTCAATGTGGGAATATTATAATTATACCTACAATTATATTTAGTTCTAGTGACTGTTCAAAAGAAAGAATATTTTTAGAGAAATGAAATGAAGTACTAGTTCAGTTTTCAAGAAATAATTAAGAATATTTAATATACTTGCAGAACTAACTGGTGTTGAAGACACAAATCCACTTGATTTCAAAATTATAAACTAAAAATTGTAATGGATTGAAAAACACTGGATTATCTAAGAAGCATTGTAGACTTGTCTAAACACCCTTTGAAGCCTGTTAGGCAGGCTTTTTTGTGGGTGTATTAATTCACATTCCACCTGTCACTGTACCTATAGGTAAAGACATTAAACCACACCCTCTGTTCTGACCTTTCCCTCAGGGGACACTGACTAGATTCTGGCTCAGTTTCAGAGCCTGTTTGAATAGCTCAGTTCGGAGGAGCTTTTACTTTTGAGTCCAGCAGCAAGAACAAGGGAAATAATGTTGCAACTATATTTCTGGAGACTGCTACTATGGAGATTTAAAACTTGACCTTCACTGCCAAGGTTCTACTTGGAAGACTTCCTTGTTTTCGGCACAGATTTGATACTAAAAGTAGTTTTATTCTCAGCTCATTTAGATATTTATATTTTCCTTCTTCCATTTCTTTAAGGATTTAGTTATTTTAGTTAAAAAGGTGTTTTGCTTGCTTTTACTTATTTTTTTGTGTGTGTATTTTTAATGAAGACTATATCTAGGGTTTTTTTGTTTTGTTTTGTTTTTAGATTTGTAGGGCTTTTTCTTTTGTTTTTCAGTTGTATGGATTCTATGATGTTTACGTAGTAGTACTAGAAAGAAACTTTTATTCTATGGTACATCTTTATAAGCTAAATAGAATTTTTAATATAGAGGAGAACTACTAAATGAGGAAAATTGGCAGCTTTGATTTCTAGGATGGATTCTTATAGGACTTACCTGGCAACTGTCAAACTCAATGGTTCTTGGTTGGAAGACCAAGATGAAGACATTTATGAGGTTGAATCTCGTGTGCCTTTACCCTATCCTTTTCCTTTATGTGAACATTTGGATGAAAGTAACTCAGTTATTGTTAATACTTCTATTTTTCATTTTCTTCATGAAAGAAATGGGCACATATTAAAACTTATTTCTAAAATCTCACTTCCAGCCCCACCTTATTCAGTAAGTATAAGAAATTTATTTTTTTTTAGTACCTTTAATATATACTTTTAGTTTTTTAGACATTTAGTTTCGAAAACTATGTAAAAAGAGAAACGAACTTTAAATGTTTATTTAAGGAATTGGAATAGAATCTGTTGTTTGATATGTAACTAGTCATTCAGTTTGGATGTATTGAAGGTCCTGAATTTGGCCTAAGAGCCTCAATTTAGCTATGTTTTTAATACTAGAAAGCAGAACAAGGTAATACTGAGTTCTCCCATGCCAAACAAGCTATTTTTAAAAATCCAGTTTGTCTTTTAAGAGTGTTGTTTTTATATTTCTCATGTCAATCCTCACTAGAAATGATATGATTATATTTGAATAGACATTGTGATACCTAAAACAGTTAAGTGAATTATTATGGAGCCAACTAAGAATTGTTTAAAATCATATGGCTATAATTTCAGACTGGGAAAAAGGAAACCTATATTCTAATTTTCAATTTTCTTGTTAATTCTCTAAAGGGCTTATTTTCAGTGGTTTTATATGCCTATCATCATGTGAGGAAATACCTTTTTTAGCTTTTTATGTGAAATATCTTTTATAAATATTGTTAGGGATACTTAACATAGTATTTCAAGTTCATTTGGCTCTAAAATGTGTTGTAAATGACTCACTACAAATTGTTTAATAACTCACTGCAAGTTATTTAGCACTTCTTTATGACTTTCATGGCTTTAACTACAATGTACTAGCTAATATTTAGCTAGCTGATAAATGGCTTTCAGAATAGCTTAGTTACCTCCCCTGAAACTTTCGTATTGAACTAAGAGACTGTTGATGCCTTACACATATTTTTAATGTAATAAGTGTCCTAACTTACTTGAAAATAACTGAATATGAAGTTTTTATGATTCATGTAATTTGGCATTATAGGTATATTGCTATTAGGAATAAGGCATATACCTTAACTGGATAGAAGAGTTTTAAAAGGGGCTTTTTTAAGTATAAAATGTTCAGATGAATATTTGAAGAGAATCTATTATCTCTGTTAGGGATAGGTTTCATTTGCTATAATATGGTTAAATTTGTGTGTATATTTACTATATTTGATTCCTCAAATTTTTCTATTTTATAATTAAAACTATCTTGTTTTATGGCAAATATTTAAGTGCATGTTAAGACTGGTCTAGATTTTGTCAAGAAGTATAATGTAAAAGTAAAGACTTAATTTTTTTATACAAAGCAGGTATTTATTTTGTTAAATGTTTTGTTGTATTTCTATAGTAAATTTGAAAAAGGAAAAAAATTAGACTTTTTAGTTAGAGCTTTTAACTTTGTTTTAGAAATTTTGTGTGTTTATACCAGTCAACCTTGTTATAGTTATACAAAATAAATTATATATGTATATGTAGAAGCAATGGGTATAGTTTTAAAATGTAGGCAATCACACTAAATTCAGGATGTTAGTTATGTATAAATTAGTTTATACTTTATGATCATGGTTCTATATAATAAAAGTTAATGTACATTATTTATCCACATTTAAAAAAATGTGGATAAATAAAAAAGGAAATTATTCTTTTGCCAGTGAGAAATAAAAATCTTTCATAGTTTTATCTTTGTTCAGGGACAATATATTATCATACATGTTTTAAAAAATATTTTGTGATTTGAAATGTATGTTTAACTTTTTATTATGAATGCCAAATATATGTCCATATTTTTTCACATAATAGAATAAAAATAATATTGAAAACATATAAAACAAGGATAATTGTATAATTGTATAATTGGATATTTTGGATATTGTCTTAGGTGACAATAAAAGTTTTAGTAACTCTAAAATATTCATAAATTTGACCACAGTTTTATAATACATTTTAGATACCTACCTATAATAAACAGTTCATTTGATTCATATTTTAAGCTTAAAGCACAGTATTTTCTCTCATACTAAATGTATATTGACTTATAATTTCTTACAGCAATATTGTAAATCTGTTATTAATGTATATGGTTGTTAGTCTTTAAAGTTTTGATGGTGTTAACAATTTAGGAATTGTAACAGAAACACCTGAACTCGATTTTTCTACCATGTGATTGTTTCAGTAAAAACTAGTAAGCAGCAACCAAAAACAAAAAAACAAACTAGTAAGCAGGAACTGATAGCTAGAAATCCAGAACAGTAGGCAGAGACAGAGCTTTTCTGTAATTTCATGCAGCTTGTCACAATGATTACTGGTTTTTTAAAGAGCTTTGATCTTGAGTCAGTACCTGATATGTCACCTTAAAAATTGTTTAGGTAAAAAAAAAAAAAATTGTTTAGGTATGTAGTCAAGAGGCTCTGTTTATGTTTAATATTTCTATATTACATAAAAAGCTTTGAAAAATAGTTGAATATTCATAGTCTTGTAGAGGTTTCTCAGATGGAAAGAAATACAGACTTATGTGTACTACGTTTTACAAGTAATTTCATTTTGTTGTTCCACTATAACTTGGTTAGTATATGTCATTGTACCAATCTTTTATCATTAGTTCCCTACAGTGTAAAGCACAAGTCATAAATTAAAGATTAAAGTTATAGTTATCATGAATACACAGTTTTGCAAAAAGAACCAGTGAATCATTAACATTATATCTACCTTATACAATACATCTAGTGATATAAAATGATTTATTTCTAAAAGAAGTATTTTTGTTGTTCAGTTGACTAGAATAAATCTCTTTTGGAAAGTTGTACACAATGTACTTGTCTACTGACATATCTCACTAATGTTAGAACACAATAGAAATAGTGACTATGGTTCAGTAGTTTATATTTTTATTTAAAACCCTTTTTTAAAGCTTTAATGGGAATTACACTGGTATTCCTAATAATTTGTCTTCCTTCATGTGTACTTTCCCACCTTATTTAGCTTGAACATGCAAAAATTACACAGACAGAGTTGATGCGTGAGTCATTCAGACAGAAACAAGAAACAACAGAGTCCCTTAAGTGCCAAGAAGAACTACGAGAACGCCTTCTTGAGGAGTCCAGGGCCAGAGAACAGCTGGCTGTGGAGCTCAGTAAGGCTGAAGGTGAGCATCTTGCCATGGACCTTGAAGGTGCAGAAATTTCAAGAATAGAGATTTTGATATAAGCCCTGTTTGGAAACCACCAGTTGACTCTTAATTTTGAGAGGTCAATGAAAAATAATTGTAGTTTGCCTTCAAAGTTCCCCCAAGCAAGTTTAAGACTATTTTTATATGAAATTGTACTTACTAGAATTACAGACAGTATTACATTTTTGGAAACTACAAAAATGGATGATGATGAGTTATCATAAACCCATCATCCTAAGACGGTAATTGTAATTAAAACATAAGGAAACTGAAATGAAGATATGATAATAATTTGTTTAAGGCCCCCATTAATTGCTGATGCCAGACTCTCAGCAACTAAAACCGCATGCTCTTTATATTTTAACATGCTATTGCTAGAGCTAGTCTTCTAGAATCACATGAAATACCAACTTTCTCTTTTATATTTAAAATGTGACTTAATTCACAACCATCTGAATGATAATAAGCTTTCCAGGATCTTGTGTTATGCCTACATAATGTTATGAAGTATTAGTATAGCAAAAGAATAGAAAATTCAGAGGAATTTCATGTTTAATCACAGTGGTTAACAAGGAAAAGTCTGGATAAAGCATACCATAATTACTGTCATTTGATTAGGGGAATTTTGTTTTTGTTTTTTAAAGATTTATTTATTTATGCATACAAGAACTTGGGTATATGCTAGAGGTGCAGGGGCTGAGAGGATTCCCCAAGATAGAGTAGGGAACAGAACAGACAGATTGACTAAAATACACTGCTAAGGGGCTCAGTGGTCTAGACTGGAAAGCTTTACCAGCTGAGCTTTAATTTAACTCCTTGTTGCCACCAGGGAAAGCTGAAGAGTTTATATATATATATTTATATAATAGTTTATTTTTACATCATTTTGTGCATTTTTTCATCTCAGTTGTAATCCCTGTGGGCTTCCCATCACCAAATCACCCTGTGCCATCACCATTGCCCAGTGCATTTCCCTTCCCCCCTCCTGTTTTTGATCCCATTCCCAACCCCTCCCCCATAAAATGTCTCTGATATATAGGTGTTCATTATTATTATTGTTATTTTCCCGCTGGTCCGTTATACTCCTGCTATGAGTGAAGCCATCTGGTATTTTTCCTTTCTGAGCTGAAGAGTTTTAGTAAGTTAACATGATTTAATGTTGTTCTAGCAGTACCCACCTTTTATGTTTATATTAAAACCTAATGACAAATGTGAAATACCTAACCCTGAACCTATTCATTTTATTTTATAGGTGTTATTGATGGCTATGCAGATGAAAAAACTCTTTTTGAAAGGCAAATTCAAGAAAAAACTGATATAATAGATCGTCTTGAACAGGAGTTGTTATGTGCAGGCACTAGATTACAAGAATTGGAAGGAGAACAACAGCAGATCCAAGAAGAAAGAGAATTACTGTCCAGACAGAAGGAAGCAATGAAAGCAGAGGCAGGTCCTGCTGAACAGCGTATGTATTTGATGAAATATTCCTTAAATGTTCACCATAGTTTTCTTTCCCTCTTACTGCTGTTATTTTATATAGGGATTTTAAAAGTATAAGAAAATATACCTTATTTGTAAATTTTTTATTAGCCACTCTTGGCAAATCAGAATTTTTTCTTCTTTCCTTTGGTAGGGAAAGCTGCATATTTCTCAATTTGTGTGAAGTTTAGTTCTTTTAAATAACAAAGAGATAGCAAAAATTGGATTAAAGAACCAAGAGTACTGATCTGGCACTAGTAGTGAGCAGGTAAGGGGTAGAAGAATAGGATAGATTGAAAACATCTAATTTATCTTAAGTAGGAGTTCAAAGACTAAACATTTATAAGTAACAACCATTTAATCGTTCCTTAAATGAGAAACTAGGTAATACTTTGAAGTAAATATTGTTTAGTAGTGAAAATAAATGTCAGTTTTTGTAACTGTAAAACTTTAAATATTTTTAATCAAGTCCTCTCGCTTTAATATTACACTTGCAGTTAGAATTACAATTGTTTAATTTCACTAATTTAATTTTATCAATTTAGAAATTTAACATGTATCTTTGTAATATGGTAAAAGTTCTGGTTGCTCAAATTTAACACATATTCAGGGATGTAATTTTAATGTGGGAAGTACATGTTTCATGCTGGAATATATATGTCATATCCAAGGAACACTGCAATGTCTCAGAATGTCACCAAAGATGATAATGGTTTCAACTTTTACTTCTAATTCTTTGTGTGTGTGTGTGTGTTACCCTATTTTAGGAAATTGAAGACATGTAAATTATATTTTTGTTCTGTGTGTGTATGTGTTTTTTTTTTCCCTATTCCTATAGGCCTAGTAAATGCTGCAGTTGATGCAGCACCTGAAGCAGGTGTGTTTATACAATTGCATGGCCAATCTTTGGGTGGTAAACTTACAACTCCAAAAATTGGATGATTCTTGAATTTTCAGTTAACTAACACATCTAATTTTACTATTGTATTTCTTTCTTACAGTTTTTCTCCTTAATAAAACTTATCTTACCGTAAAAAATACATTTTCACAGTTGAAATTAACTAATAATCTAATAATCTTAATGACCATCATCTTATATATCTTTTTCCACAGAGCTTAAAACCATCTTGATTTTTTAATGGTTTATTAAAACATTTTTGTCTCAATAAATGTTGACTTCTTAGAGCCTATTTTCAAAATTCTCGATTTGAATCAGGAACTATATAAGATGATGGTGTAACTAGTATCAATGAAATTAAGTAAGATAAAGAGCCTTTTTGGTTGATTTGCTTTTGTAATAGTGTGGTTTTAAAAGGAAAGCTATTTTCTATAGATTCCTAGTCCTGAGTAAAGTGTTGGCAGATCATTTCATATAAAAACTCTAGGGTTCTGTTCTTTTTGTCAGAGAATTATATTTGCTATATACATTTTATTATTTATTATTACTTACTAAGATTAATAATTATAGGTAACACTGATATAGTACTTGCCACACCCTAGGCACTATTTCTTGCATATATTAATTCATTGGATCCCCAATAATCTTAAGAGAGCAGTACTATTTCTGTCCCCAGTTTTACATATAAGGAAACACAAAGACATTGGAGATAAGAGGTAAACTAGAATTTGAACCCATAGTCTCTGTTCTTAAATACTACTTCACATTGCTTCTACTGGTCAGTATTCCCTTGAAACACAACTATGTGAACATGTAAAACTAACTCAGGAATATGGATCTCATGAGGAGTGACACTAACAAGAAATTCTAATTGCAGTTGGCTTCCTTTTTCTATTACTCTTACTTGCCTTGGTTAAAGATTTACAATATTTGAATCTTAATATGTATTGTGTGTGCATATACAAGTGACTTTATGGGTTTGAAATGAATTGATTTTGCCTGAGGTGAGTTTTTTCTGTTGTTGAATTTAATTAGACTTTGTTCTTTTCATCAGAGTGAAGATAGATTTTTTTTGTTGTTTACATACTATGTTTTCATAAAAATATACTTAATTTGCTATAACTTTGTTGACAGTCTACTTATCTTAGCAATGTTATTTTGATATTTGTATAAGAATATTTTCCTTCTTATATGTTTTTGAAATAAAACTCAGATTTTTTTATATTATAGGGTAAAATTTAAACATAGGGGGTTTTCACTAGCTAACATCATTAATTGCCATTTAACAGTTTATCTTTGCACTTATAAACAGAATTACTACAGGAAACTGAAAAACTAATGAAGGAAAAACTAGAAGTACAATGCCAAGCTGAAAAAGTACGTGATGACCTTCAAAAACAAGTGAAAGCTTTAGAAATAGATGTCGAGGAACAAGTCAGTAGGTTTATAGAACTGGAACAGGAAAAAAACGCTGAACTAATGGATTTAAGACAACAAAACCAAGCACTAGAAAAGCAATTAGAAAAAATGAGAAAGTTTTTAGATGTAAGTATTTTCAACTTGAATATTGAACAACACTTGTTGCTACATTTTGAATTTCAAATCATGAAGATTCTTGAATTCTGAAGTTTTCTCTGTAAATTCTTATCAGTTAATTGAAAAATTACATTCTATATTACATTCTAACTTTTATTATGTAGTTGTTAGAATTAAAAGGAGTACAGATATAATATGAATGAACCCTATCAGTTACCTTTTCAAAATTCAAAATTAAAGTTTTCTAGTTTTTACCTTTAACCAGCCTCCATAGCAGGCAAAGAGCTAATTAACTTCATCTTTCAGAGTTACACAAACAGTGTCTATCCATGCAAACAAGACTGGAGCAGTTGTCATGCTGCTGTTACTCTCTAAGACCTAAATTAAGATGAAAGAAATTGACTTACCACTTTGTTGTATCTACTTATTTTGTTTAATAACTAATGAAAGAGGAATACCTCAGTTGTTCCAAAAAGTAAATTAATTTTCAAGTTTATTTCATTCTATATTTATTTCATATTACTTAAATTAATAAATACTGTACTTCTAATATTTAAATGCTTGTTTTTGTTAGAGAGCTCAAGTAGGCTACATACCATACAAAATACATATTTTTAAAACTTTTTTATTTGGAATATTCTGTGATCATCAGTTTTTTGTCTTTAATATGAAACTACACCTGTAGCTAGTGAGAAATAATAGCTTTAATATATATTCATTTATTATTACTATTATTAAACTTAGGAGCAAGCCATTGACAGAGAACATGAGAGAGACGTATTTCAACAAGAAATACAGAAATTGGAACAGCAACTTAAGGTCATACCTCGATTCCAGCCTATCAGTGAACATCAAACTAGAGAGGTAAAAGCTTTAGTGATGTTATCTACCTACTAGGAGTGGGTATATTATGTGTCTTACTTAAGACTCATATCATGAAAAATCCCAAAGAAATCCTATATGAATCTTAAAAATTACAGTAGTAAATGTTCTTAACTATGATAAGGTTCTTGAAACCCTAAAATTATTTTTATTGAAATTAAGAATTGTTTCCATTGCACCCACCTAGTAGTACCTAGTTAACTCACCCGCCCTTTTCTCTATTCCCATTCCTAGCACAACTGATCAGAAGTGTTTTCTGTGTTCATTTTTTACTTCCTGGTCTCCTTTTATTTTCTCAATCTGCTCTAGTGAAATTTCTAATACCTGTTGCAGTTGGGTTTTCTATTCTCTGCTTCACTGAACCTTTTTCTGAAGATTACCTACAGCTTCAGGTCTGTGTCCTGTAATCACCTCTATTTCTTCATCATAATTGGCCATTAAAGACATTCATTACAATTTTCTTGCTGAAACATCATCTTTTGACTTCTATGATACATCTTCTTCTTTGGTCTCTTTCTCTAGTCCTTGTTTCTTCTCTGCCTAAAATAAATGAAGGCATGTTCCCAGGAAGTGTATTGGATAGCCTTTTCTTCTAGATTTATATTTTCTTCCCATACAATCTTACATGAATTACTCCACTTTCATTTCCCCAATCCTAACTTATCTGTTGACATTAGATTTAATTATTCAGCTGCCCAATTTATTTCACCACTTGATTTCACACACACACACACACACACACACACACAATGTTCAAAAGAGGGCTTTTAGTTTCTGACTAGCCCCCACCAAAGAAAGACTAGAAGAAAACTTGATACTGCTTTATTCCAGTAAATTCTATACCATACTCCCCTTCCCACTACTGAGACCTAGAATTCATCCTCAATTCTGTTCTTTTTCTCAATCCCTACTCCCAACCCACTTGTTTGTCAGGTGCCCTGTCTTCTTCCATTTTCAATCATCATTCTCAATCCTACTCACCATTGTTTGCCTGGATGCTTTTGATAGCCCCGTAAGCATTCAATCTGGTTTTACTTTTCAGCCTAACCAACCATTTGCCTTAGAAAGAAACATAACAGTACTCCATATTTTCTGAATGAATGTTGCATGAACAAGGGATAATTAATGGTATAAATTGCTAAAAGTGACCTGTGATGGCGACAGATTATACAGTTAGACCTTCCAGTTTGTGTCATCATTTGCTAGGTATCTGACAATAGATCTAAGTCCCTTTCTAAAACTTGTTTACTCGTTTCTAAACTATAGAATGTAATAGAATCCAGCTCATAGGATGATTGGACTGGTACATAGTAAACTTTTAGCTATTATTATGTCTGAAAATTATTTTTATTTCTATAAAATTTTGTAATTGTAACTTCTATAGGTTCACACCCACCAGCAAAACACCTGTAGTCCTTTACCATAAACCATTGGGCCTTCTTCCCACTCTATTTTCAACCCCACTTATCCTCTCTAGAAGCCTCAATTCTATAGTCGTATTTTTAGGATTAGTTCTGGTTTAGTTTTGTTAGTTCCTTTGTTTTGGGGTGGTATAATTTTTAAATTATTTCCCTAAGGTATCACACTGAAAACCTATTTTTCTTAGCACTGGATTGCTTTTTTTAGTAGATTTTCTCTTCGTTTAATTTTCCCTTTAAATTCATAAACTATTTTATTAATCCTTCCTTTATCACCACAGAGCCATTCATTTGAATTGACCTGCATATCAGCTCACTTAGGAAAACCCTTTTACCACCCAGAATGCTCATCTCTGTTCTGGGCTAATAAAATGTGCAGGCTGAAAAACCTTATCCAAGTGAGCCCCTCCCATCCTTATGATAATTACTACCATCTATTATTTTATGCAAAAGTTATCACTAATTGTGAAAAGAAAAAAATAATCCATGAAAGATTTGATGTCATTTGGTCTCAGAGAAGAGTGTAAGTGAGTACTCTGCAAACTTGTGTTTGTTAGGTTTTAGTGTGGCTGTGCCATTAGAGCTTATAATTCATTATTCACAAATGTATTTTTTAACCTACTAGCTGGAGAAGTCTTAGTTTAAAGGAAAGAACTTGTTTTAAACAGTTAGTGATAGCAGTATTTCCCTTATAATTGTACTTTGTTTTGTCAATCAAAAAATGTCACCATATTTGGAAGTAGTAATTGCTACCTTTATAGAGATAAAATTAGCATAGTATCTAAATATACTTTTTGAAATAAGGATGGATGTGTTACTAGACTTGTTGAAATTTTTTAAATTACAGTTTATGCTTACTATATTTCTAGGTTGAACAGTTAACAAATCATCTGAAAGAAAAAACAGACAGGTGCAGTGAGCTTTTGCTCTCTAAAGAGCAACTTCAGAGAGATATACAAGAAAGGAATGAAGAAATTGAAAAACTGGAATTTAGAGTAAGGGAACTGGAACAAGCCTTACTCATTAGCACAGACACTTTTCAAAAGGTATGACATTTTCCTTAGGTTAACTTTATATCAGGTATTTTAGTGCAGATTGTTCTGAGTTAATGCAGCATAAGTTCTTTCAAAAAGTTGCCATTGGTTACTATATAATGTCTCTATCTTTATGTTCTCACTGACTTAACCATTTCTGTTTATTCTTATTTCCCAATATTGTGTGTGTATAACTTAGACCTGAGAAAGGAAGATTATTAAACCAGAAGAATTAACTATCCTTTTAATCTTCTAATAAAGTAATTAAAAAACATTAATAGCCAAGTGGAAAAAAAGCAGTGGATATATGTTATCTCATGCATTATCCCATACTAAGAATTAATGAGGGCCTCTCTGGTGGCACAGGGATTAAATTCTCAGCACTATGAAGTTATTGGCAGCCACTGGAGCACAAGTTTCATCCTCTAGCCAGGGATCTGACTTACATAGCACAGCAAAACCACTCTTGTCTCACCCTTTACTCCCCTCAGCAGTGTATTTCAGTCAATCAGCCTGTTCTGCTCCCCCACTCTGACTAGTGAATCTTCTCATTGTCCCTCACCTGTGGCCTACACCCATGCTTTTATAGGCATAAATAAGTAAAATAAATCTTTGAAAAAAAAAAAAAAGGATGGGGCCTTCCCTGGTGGCACAACAGGTTGGGGTACAGCACTCAAGCTAGCCGCAGCTACTTCAGTGCATATTTGATCCCAGCCCCGGAGGTGACCCTCATAGTGCAGCAGACATCTCCTATCTCGCTCACTGCTCCCCTCAGCAGTGTACTTCATCGATCTGCCTGTTCTGCTGCCCACTGTTTCTCTGGTGAGTCCTCTCACCGCCCCTGCAACTTTTTTCTGAACCCCGGTTCTGTATGCACAAATAATCTTTAAAAGAAAAAGATAAGTAAAAGTAATGAAGTCTGCCCTCATTACACTTCAGAAAGTAAAAGTGAATAAAAGATGAAAGTAGGATAGGGACACTAACTTAAGGGATAGATGAGGATATTGATGTATTTTATTGGAGGAGTGAAATTTAAGTGTCACAGGTTCCTGTTTGAATTTATATAAAATGCATCAAGAACTGAATATTTCTAACTTTGGATTATTCACTAATGTATATAGCTCATCTACTTAGAATTGGAAAATAGAATTGCTACTTTAATTAAAATGGTTAATAGGAGTAAATGTCTGAAATTTTTAAATAGTTGTTTTATCTTTATAGATAGAAACTCAAAAACAGTTTGAAGCTATAGAAGCTAAAGCAGAATTGTCCCTGGAAGTACAGTTGCAAGCTGAGCGAGATGCCATAGACAGAAAGGAAAAAGAGGTAAGATTATTTTTAATGATAAATGTGATTTGAATTATTTTAATTGGTCACCTTGAAAATTTCATTTGTGGGGGTGCCTACAACAGGTCGTACAACAGGTTGAAGTGCAGACTGTGAGGCTATCTGCAGCCACTGTAGTACAACTTTGATTCCCATCTAGAGAGGTGACCCACATGGCCTGTCAGACTTTCCTGATCCTCCCACTGTTCCCCTCAGCAGTGTATTTCAGCACATCTGCCTGTTCTGCTTCCCACTCTGTCTCCCGTGAATTCCTGTCATCCCCCATACCTGTGGCCTGTGCCAGAGTTCTTGTATGCATAAATAAATAAATATTTCAAGGGAAAAGTAAGAAAATTTGCTTTGAACAGTTTACTCAGTTTACCTTACAGGCAATGAAAATGAACAAATTACTGGTATGAGGAAGAGTAGTATGAGTAGAGGGCACACACAAGTATAAAAACTTTGATGTAGGAGAAATCTTGCTTTGAGAACAAAAAGAAGGTAGCTATTAATAAAAAGGACACTGAGATATATAGTGGTGTTAGGGGGCTGTAGAATAGTATTCTTTTCTCCTGACTTTATCACGGGCTTTGAATTATTGCTACTATGCTCTGAGTTTTTTGTTAGTTAGTTTTTTTTTTTTTTAAGTTCTGTTGGTTGGATAGATTATAATACTGTTTTACAGTATACTACTCATGTTCTTAAAAGATTAGCATAAAGTAATTATACAGATGTCTATGTTTTTCTACTCTTTCACTTCAACAACAAAGAATATCTGTTTTTAAAATAATAATTATCAATGCTCTAATTAAATTATAACTTATTAATTATTTTGTCTAGTAGTTTTTCTAAAATGCACACATTAGCTTTATCAAATCACTAAAATTTTTAAATTTCTAAAACTACATTTTTTGCCTTGCCATATAATTTTCTCAGGACATTTCATACATTTTAATAAATATTGAATTTAAACTGTATAAAAATGTTACTAAGTATCTTGGAAAATTCAAGAATGATTTAGAGAGCAAAAACTACAATTCAGAGAGTTGGTGGTTTAAAAAAGAAAAATGGCATCTTCATAAATGACGATAATAATGGTTCTTACTATAAATAGTGACTAATGTTTATCTAATAGGACAATATTTTTTCTGTTTTTTGTTTGTTTTTCTCCCAAAAAAAGCAAGAAACACTTTTATTTATATATAATCATTCATATTTTTTGGAAGTAATAAACGCTTAAAGATTTACCTTAAACTAAATAATAAAAAAGTGTCTGTTCCCTAAAAAGGTATCCCTGCAAAAACCAAACCAAAAGCAATGAAATTTAATTATGAGTAGTTAATTAAATGCACTAGTTTATATTTTTATATTGCTTTGACTTTTAGAGATTGCTACACCTTAAATTCTTACATATAAAAAAAAATGTTCAACTTTTACCCAAAATCTAAGTTGTTTAGAAATACAAGAGACTTTACAGAGCATCTGCCATTTCCCAGTTTTCAGAGATGAGAAACGGCCATACCTGTTGAATAAGTAAAGAGTAAAGCTGACAGCTGATCCTGGTTTACTCGTTTTTAATAACAGTGACAAGTACTCTGGCAGAACCTACTCATCCAAACTAGAAATTGAAACACAAGAACATTGAATAAAAACATTTAAGTTGTAGTAGAAAATAACTTCTTACGCTTAATTCTCTCCTGCACTAAGAAAATGTTTTCACATATATGAATTCCATTTGCATCATTATGTTTGAGATGTTTTCCAGTATTCCCATCACCACTACATTCGTCATAACATTTAGAAATGCAGGATGAGCAGAAAGAAAAGAAAACTAAAATGATTTGAGTGCTAAGGTAGGAGAAAGTAAATGATGTAGAAAGAAACAGTAGAAAATTTTCTTTAAGAAGCCTTTATTGGTTTTTGAATCTAATGTAAAGTTTTGATATGTTTGCTACAAAGTACTAAGCATTTTAAATGCTTTATGTCATTACTCCTTACATTCTTCATGAGGAGAGGCCCTAATGTGTCCTGCATTTTACAGATGAGAAAACTTAAGTGTTAAGAAAGTTTAAGCATCAATGAATAGGTTTCTTATTTTGGAGTACCTGTGATTCTACACTTTCAGAGCTTCAGGATATGTTTCACCTCTTGGTAAAAAGTATTGAAGACTAAGCTTTTTTTTTACACGTATATCACCTCTGTCCCACTGCAAGATTAGCACCAGACTTCAAGGAATCTACTCTCTAGCTAAGGAAACAGTAGTTCCTTACTACTGTCCAAAAGTAGAACATTCCTATTTGATGTAACTTAGTAGGTTGTGTTTGGGTCTGGAAATAATCAAATTTTTTTTCTTATAAATTACTGATAATAGCATTTCCAAAAATCTAAAATAGCCTACTACATCCTGCTAAATAGGAACAGTCTACTTTTAGACAGAAGGGAAACCTATGTACATATTTGAGAGATAAGAATTATAAAAAATAAGATTCAAATTAATATAATCAAAACAGGCTAGATAGCTAAAATAACTAAGATTAAAACAAATGCTACTGGTATATCTTTAACGTTCTGATTTGGGTGTTCTAGACCACAGTAAAACAGTGTGGGACTGAATAAGAAGAATCTGAATAAAAGGAAAGAATGTTCCTGCAATGTCCTCCTTAGAAATTGTTTTAATGTCTCAAGTTAAGCTCCTTCTAACAGGAATATTAAAGCTTTATACCAGTGCTTCTCAAACTTCAATATACAATGAGTCCTCTGGGGATCTTGTTAATATGAAGATTCTGTTCAGTAGGTCTGGGGTGGAGATTGAAAAACTGCACATAAAATATGTTGCAAGGGTTATGACAGTTTTTCTGCTCAGGAACAACAATTAGAATGGCAAGACTGTGGATCACAAAGGTACAAATTTGACCTTAAACTGGTGTATCAAAAGAGAAAGAAATTCTGTAAGGTAGGGCAGCAATTTTGAACTTAACTATCTATGTATGTGTTGATTTTGTAATAAAACTTTGTCATCAAAAGTAGTTATAAAGTTATGGGTATGTTACTATTAAGTAACTTTGAAGAAGATGTAACTAGCATAATATTCAACAAACTAATCTGATAATTACAGGTGCACAACTTGTAATTGTATTTAAGATTTGTCTAATGAGTTTAATACCAGTGTTACAGAAACGATTTAAATATAAGTCTTAGGCCTTAGTTATTAGTAGCAGGATAAATGATAATTAAAAGTGTAGTTTTAGAAGTAAACCACTCAGGTTCAAAAGCTCACTTTATCGTCACTGACTGTGTCACCTCAGGGCAGGCTACTCATCTCTCGGTTACTCTCTTAACTCAGAAATGAAGATGATTCTAGTACTGATCTTACAGAGTTAAAAAACATAATAATCTATGTGAGGACTTTATGGTCACTAACACTGTGATTGATACTATTTCTATTGAGGGACTATTTCTATTGATGATTTTGTTAAGGTCTTTGCTTTGCCACTGCTAAGGTATGGTTCTGTTTATGGGTTGCTGTGGCCTTATGCCCCTTACAAGTTCCAAGGCAATAAATGATTTATCAACTGCTCCCTGGGCCAGTTGCCACCAGCTGTTGGCTCTGCATCTGAGCATATGAGGTTGCTTTTAATGCATCAATTTTGACCATCAGGTAAGTAAACATTTGGAAATTCATTCATTATTTAATCAGCAACTACAAAGCAGTGAGTTATTGTTATTGTTCTGGCCCTCATCAAGTCCAGGTTTTAAAATATAACAACAACTAGCTCTTAATATTTGTTAGTGTCAGTCTGTGTGGCCATCAAAGAGCAATTGCTTTACTGTTGCAGTTACCCACACTCATAAATGAGCTAAATTTCTATTTTCCTATGTATAGGCTCTCTCTCTAACTTTTTCTTAAAATTGTATTAGTAAATTACTAAGAAGTAAATATTAACAGACTTAAGGATCTCATGGTCTTTGTGTCTTCCACTGTTTCCTTATGCTTCTGTTTTGTTAAAGATTTCTTTATTATGCATACAAGAACTGGGGTATAGGCCAGAGGTTCAGGAGGTGAGAGGACTCACCAGAGACACTGGGGAGCAGAACAAGTGAATCTACTGAAATATACTACTGAGTAGAGCAGCGGGCAAGACAGGAAAGGCCTGCTGTGACATGTGGGTCAGCTCCCTGGCTGGGTATCGAACTTGTACTACAGTGGCTGCCAAGAGCTTTGGCTGCTGATAGCTTGATAGTTCTATGTCTTTAACCCCTGTGCAACCAGAAAGAGCTCCTGTTTCCTTCTTCTTAAAACAAATAGAAGACAGCCAAACTTTTCACTGGGTTATACAATAGTACTATGGACTAAATTGGGCTGGTCTTACATGGTTGCTAAAATAAATTATTTATTCCATAACTTTTTCTGTCTTTGATGGCAACTAAATTTAATAGAAACTAGGTTTCAAATGTGGGTTCTTTCTTTCCTACCCTGATTATTTTCTGATTTTCAGAGGATTTTGCAGGTAGGAAATGGCTCCTGATAATAACTCCTCTGAAGGTCTCAGTACACATTTGGGCATAACTGTGTAAATGTGTTGCTAAGTATAAACAGAAACATAACAGGTACACCTGGCTTAGAAAAATCCCTTTTCTTTATTCTTCATGGTTCATGTCTTAGCACGCGTGCACACACACACGCATGCATGTGCGCACACACGTACACACATACTTTGTAGCACTAATACAGCTTTGTTCATTCTCTCTTAAATTTGTATAAACTATTTTTTTGTCTTGATAATTTTGGTATTGAAGATCACTAATTTGGAAGAACAGTTAGAACAGTTCAGAGAAGAACTAGAAAATAAAAATGAAGAAGTTCAGCAGTTACATATGCAATTAGAAATACAGAAAAAGGAATCTACCACCCGCCTACAAGAACTTGAACAAGAAAACAAGTTATTTAAGGTAATTTGTTAGAAAAAACTTCTGCCTATAAATAATTCATAATTTTTGTCCTGCCTGTAGTATTTAAGAATTTGTTAGCTCCAGCTGCTAAATAATACTATATGAGCATTAGCTGCAAATGCATTTGCATGAAACTTAACTTTCATTTAATTTATCATTGTTATAAAAATTGAGACCTTTTAAAATATTTCAACAATTATTCATTTGTAACAGCTATACTTATTTTTTTCACTTTTCACATTTTGGATATCTTAACTTTTTGTTAGAAGTTCATTTAAACAATGTTCAGAAAATCACATGTAGTGAGCTATTCAAGTGGAATGGTTATTTTTGTCTCTAGGATAAAATGGAGAAATTTGGATTTGCCTTAAAGGAATCTGATGTTGGCTATACTCAGGACCAACCTGTGCTGTTTGGGAAATTTGCTCAAATAATGCAGGAAAAAGAGGCAGAAATTGACCAATTGAATGAGCAAATTAAAAAACTTCAGCATCAGCTTAAAGTCACAACAGATAATAAGGTATTTATTTTAAGATATATTATTATATGAAATTAATGTAAGGTAGAATTTTAAAGAGCACAGTGATTACTTTTCTGTTTCTTTTTGAATGTAAAAAAACAAAACTAGTTGTTTTTTTGCCATTAGTTTTAACTTATTAAAACATACTGCTTTAATAAACTGTGTACATCTTTTTCCCTTCCCAACACTGTCAAAAAACTGTGATGTTTTACTAGGAGTCAGATTTCATCATATTGTTCTAACTAAATCCATTTAAAACTCTTCTTTGTGGTATGTAAGTATAATGGTGGTAAATAAGAAAATGACCTTTGGTCACCACATGCTTTATAGACTTTCAGTACTTCATCTTTTCACTTATTATATATTGATAGTGAATATTTTACATGTGAATCAGCTAGTGAAAGTATAAATCACTTAGTATTTAGCAGAACAAATCCTAAATAAAGTCCTTGTTTGATGGTTGGTCTTTTGCCTGAGAATTAAATTATCTTTGTGTGCGATCATCACTTTAAGATTTTCTGCTGAAATAATATCTCGATGTATAAATATTTATTTATGTATATTACATTTTTCATTTACTAATAGGTCATTGAAGAGAAGAATGAACTGATCAGAGATCTTGAAACCCAAATAGAATGTTTGAAGAGTGATCAGGAACGTGTGAAGAAAAATAGAGAAGAAGAAATAGAGCAGCTCAATGAAGTGATTGATAAACTTCAACAAGAATTAGCAAATATTGAACAGAAGACATTGCTGGATGCTAATTCTTTTCCAGAAGAAGCAGACAGTTTAAAACATCAGTTAGATATGGTAGTAGCTGAAAAAATGGCTTTGGAAAAGCAAGTAGAAACTACTAATGAAGAAATGGCCTTTATGAAAAATGTACTTAAAGAAACCAATATTAGAATGAACCAGCTAACACAAGAATTGTATGATATAAAGAAGGAACGTGAAAATATGGAAAAATTCCACATTATGCCACGGAAAAGTATTAACATGGGTGTAGATGATCTTAGTAAAACTAAACCTGAACCTGAAGTAGTCCTTACAGAGGATGCTTTTAAACCACTGGAAAATCAGACTTACCTCAAATCCTTTGACGAAAACAGCAAATTTCCCACAAGCAGTTTGGAAACAAAGGTGCTACAACTGGAGAACACTGTGAGTGCAAAGAACTATGAACTTACTCAATGTTATAAACAAATAAAGGATATGCAAGTACAAGGCCAGTCTGAAGCAGAAATGCTTAAAAAGAAGATTGTTAACTTACAGAATTTACTTGAGGAAAAAGTTGCTGCTGCTCTTGTGAGTCAAGTCCAACTTGAAGCAGTTAGAGAATATGCAAAATTCTGCCAAGATGAACAAGTAATTTCATTAGAACCTGAACAAAATGTAAATCAACTATCAGAAAGCAAGGTGGATGCAAATGTATCAGCATTAACTTGGAGAATATCAGAATTAGAAAAGCAGGTGGTTGAAATGCAAACTAGTTTGAATTTTAAAAAAGAACAGGTTGAAATTGCAGAGAAAAATGTTTTGGAAAAAGAAAAGAGGCTTGTGGAACTTCAGAAGCTATTGGAGTATAATGAGAAAAAACAGGGAGGGAAAGAGAGGAAAAGAATCCCCCAAGAAGACTTTGAGGTTCCCCAGGTTGGTTTGCATTTGATTTTTGTCAGTTAAATGCCCTAATAAACTTTCTTTGTTCTTAAGAAGATTGCTAATTACTGAATTAAATATGCTCTTCTGTATACCTAGCAATTCACATATAAAGGAATTTTATGAAAATGTACACTCATATGTTCACTTGAATAATAGATCCCAGATATATATTCAAAAAGATTTTCAAGTCAGGATATTCATTTTACTAGTGTAGTCACTAAGTAAAGCAGTCAGAAGAAATTTAGGAACATTAAGTTTAGCAAATATCTACTGTAAACTAAGGTTTTTCCCTTTTTTTTTTTAAAGATTTATTTTTGCATACAGAACTGGGGTACAGGCCAGAGATGGGGCAGTGAGAGGATTCGCCAGAGGCAGAGTGGGGAGCAAAACAGGCAGATCTACGAAGCACATTGCTGAGGGGAGCAGCGGGCAGGTCAGGAGAGGTCTGCCATGCCCTGTGGTCTCCTCCAGGACAGGCAGGGATCAAACTCATGTGGAAGTGGCTTTAGCTTCTTAGTGCTGTGCTTTAACCTGTTGCGCCACCAAGGAGGGCCAGTTTTTCTCTTTTTAACATTTATATTAAGTGACCATCCCATTTAGTAGAAGTATCATAATATATTAGTATTCTGCTGAATTAATGAGTGATAAGTCAGCAGCTCTTATAGATTGTATACCTGATAATTAGTTTCTTAAGAAAAATTTATACTTTTGTAAGTATACTTATGTAAAAATCTGTGGTAAGTTATTTTTTTATTTATATATATATATATTTACATCATTGTTCATTTTAATACGATGTTTACTTTCCCCCTTCATGTATAGACCATATAGAATTTTCTTTCCCAGTTTGCCATTGCACCTTCACCACAGTCCCCTGTGCTCCTTCCTCCCTCCTTCCAACCCCTCTCCTCCTCTCCTGCAGGATGTCTCTGGTTTATAATTGTTTTTGTTTTGTTTTTATTTTTTTCTCCTGTGACTGACTTAGTTCCCGTGTAAGTGAAACCATCCAATATTTTTCTTTTCCTTCTGACTTAGTTCACTGAATATGATCCCTTCTGGCTCCATCCATATTGATGCAAATGGCATGAGTTTTTTTGATTGCTAAAAAATAGTCAATTGTGTGTGTATATATATGTACCACATCTTGATCCAGTCATCTATTTTTGGGCATTTGGGTTGTTTCCTTATTTCACCTGTTGTAAATAGTGCTGCAGTAAATATAGGGGTTATACTTTTAAATTAATGTTTTTGAGTCCTTTGAATAGATCCCTAGGAGTGGAATTGCTGGGTCATATGGTAGTTCCATTTTTAGTAATCTGAGGGACCTCCATACAGCTTTCCATAATGGTTGTACTAGTTTGCACTCCCACGAGCAATGTAGGAGAGTTCCTTTTTTTCACATCGTTGCCAACATTTGTTGTTACTAGCTTATTTGGTATGCACCATTCTTACCTTTAAGGTGTTATCTTAGTGTGGTCTTAATTTGCATTTCCCTGATTAAAAGGGATGTTGAACATTTTTCATATGTCTGTTGGCCATTTTTCTTTCCACTTTGTGACTGTGTCTTTTAAGTTGTTCTGCCCATTTATTCTGGACTGTTTTACTTTGTTTTTGTTAACAAAGTCATGTGAGTTCTTTGTATATCTTTGTGATCAATCCCTTACCTGTTGTAAGGAGTGCAAAGATGTTTTCCTGGTTAATAGGGTGCCTCTTTGTTTTGGTTAATGTCCCTGCTGTACAGAAGCTTTTCAGTTTGATGTAGTCCCAGGTATTTATTTTTTCCTCCATTTTCTTTGCTTTGAGTGATGAATCTTTAAAGATGTTACTGAGATGTATGTCTTGTAGTGTTTTACGTATATTTTCTTCTATATATTTTATGGTTTCAGGTCTTATGCCTAAATCTTTTATCCGTTTTGATTGATTTTTGTGGATGGTGTGAGGAAGTAGCCTAGATTCATTCTTTAGCTTGTGTTGTTCCAGTTTTTCCAGCAACATTTATTGAGCAAACTGTCCTTGTTCCATTGTATATGCTTTGCTCCTTTGTGAAACATTAATTTTTCATATATGTTTGGATTTATTTCTGGGCTTTCTATTCGGTTCCATTGGTTTGTGAGTCTGTTTTTGTGTCAGTACACACTGTTTTAATTATTATAACTTTTATTTCTTGGTATAAAACAGATATGGAAGAACTCTAATTTTCAAATTCTCACTTTAAATATTTTTAAGTAGTAAATATACAGTTGTATCTTAACACCATGAGATGAACCAGTAATGGATTCTATACATTTAAAATTTATTTTGCAAATGATAAAAATTCTTTCCAGTTATTCATTCCTGTCTCACTAAAACTATAAATTACTCTAAGTAACATTAAGAAGCAATGTGACTTTGGGCCCTCCCTGGTGGCACAACAGGTAAGGACGGAGCATCATAAGCTAGCTACAGCCACTCAGTGCGAGTTCAATATCAAGCCCTGGAGGTGATCCACATGGCACAGCAGACCTCTCCTGTCTTGCCCACTACTCTCCTCAGCAGTGTACTTTGTTCATCTGCCTGTTCTGCTCCCCACTCTGTCTCTGGTGAAGCCTCTCTCCGCCCCTGCACCTCTGGTCTGTACCCCAGTTCTGTAGGTATAAATAAATAAATCTTTAAAAAAAAAAAAAAGTAATGTGACTTTATACATATACACATAATTTATAGAAAATACCTTAGTTACACCTGATCTTTTGAGAAAAATGTTATGTAACAATTAGGAAAATTTTTGAATGGCAACAAAAATATTTTCATTAATAACCAATTTTTAGGATATATATACCAAAGACATGCTTTCACTTCCCAAAAAGTCATTCTGTTCTTTCTTACTGTCTCAAGAATATAAAATGACAGTTCTGAAAAAGTTTACATATTTGTTGAAAGAACATGGACCTTGCCAACCCATGTATTGGATAATCATTACTGGAAAAGCTTTATTTGTATGTTTAGGTGACCTGAACTTAGCTGTATATTTTTTAAATGACATATTCTTTACTTTTCCCATTGCCAGACAACTACTCAGCTAATTCAAAACAATGAAGAAGGAATTTTTGATCAACTTGCAGTTCTTAGAGCTGAATTAGCAGCTACCAAAGAAGAACTTGCCAGTTACAAAGAGAAGGCAGAAAAACTTGAAGAAGAACTTTTGGTAAGATAAGTAATATGGCCTATCTTAATTCATTTTCTGCCTATCTTATTTTCATTTCAGAATACATTCTATACATTCTTTTCTACAAAAAAAAAAAAAACCACCCAACCCATAACTGAAACCTAGAAAAAGTTATGAATTTAATGAAAAGTTCTGTAACTATAAATTTCTTTACTAACATTAAATAGCTTGGTTTCCTTGCAGTCTTTGTCATCATGTGGCTTTTAATTTCTAGTTAATGGAGAAAGATGTTACAGAGCCATTTGGTTAAAAATAAGAAATAGAATGATAGGCTGCTAAAATTAGGCAAATAATTTTTCTGTTATTCTGAGGAAAGTAAACATATTACTTTAAATTTTATTCTTCCCTCCTTAACTGAATTTTACATTCAATATAGAAAAAATTTAACTGAATGCTCCTCTGATTTATCCATTTTGTTTTAGATAAAAGAAAGAAATATGACGTTTCTACAGAAAGATTTAAGTGAAGTTAATAATCAACTTGCAGACGCAAAAGAGAAACTATTCTACTACTTAGAAAAAGATGTTAAGATCGAGATACAAGAAAACAGAAAAGTCTGTATGTTAGAGCCACTTCCTGTCAAAATAGTTAAAAGCACTACATCACAGACAGATGGGACTCTCAAAGTCAATAGCAGTGATCAAACTCCAGAAGTTCCTGTTAAAAATGCAGGAATCCAAATTGACTTACAGAGTGAATGTTTTTCAGAAGAAGTCACTGAAATAATCAGTCAATTTACTGAAAAGTTTGAGCAGATGCAAGAACTACATGCTGCTGAAATTTTAGATATGGAATCCAGACATATTTCAGAAACTGAAACCTTAAAGAGGGAACACTGTGTTGCTATTCAGTTACTGACAGAGGAATGTGGTACTTTGAAGTCAGTGATACAGTGTCTGAGATCTAAAGAGGTATGTGTATCTCGGAATCTATTTTTCCCTCCAACATCAATATTATTTTCAAAATTCATTTTTGATTTTTAGAGAAAAAGAAATCTGTTGCAATCTTTCCCTTTAATAAAATTAAAGTTGTAATTATATAGAGTTAGAAAGATAGTCTGCATTTTTGGAACCTGATGTTATCATTCCTTAATTCACTCATCTCTCTTATAGTAATAATCATGACGAAAAAAATGACTTGTTTACCATGGATAGTTTTATTTATTGTGAAAGGTACAACATTTTTTGACAACATTATAAACTACCATATACCCTGTTTTATTAAGTTAAAAAAAAGTTACAATTTTTGTTTTTTCTCTATCTTTAGGGTTCCTCAATTCCTGAATTAGCACATTCTGATGCTAACCAAACAAGAGATATCTGTTCTAGTGGTAAGTTAGTCTAACTTTCTAGAATTTTTATGGCATTTATTTATTAATTTTTTTTGTTTGTTTTAATAGTCAGTGGTGATTTTCTTTATTTTAAGATTCTGGATCAGACTGGGGTCAGGGAATTTATCTTACACAAAGCCAGATGTTTGACACAGTCTCAGAAGGCCGAGGGGAAGAAGGTGAAAGTTCAACAGATTCATTTCCAAAGAAAATAAAGGTATTGAAAAATATGTCTTTTAGTAAAACTTAGTGTGGTTTCTGAATTGAACATAGTGTGGTTTATTAAAAGTAAGAATCATTTTGAAGAGAGAATTACATAACTGAAAGGAATATTGAGGCTCTATTTAGTTTCATCCTGTATTTTGTATAATAATGTTTAGGAATTGTTTTCATAAAAATTCCCTCTAACAATTTAAATTTTTTTTTTTTGCCAGAATTATTCAAAGTGCCCTCAAGGATTAGGATTTATCCCCTACTTTTATTTTGGGTCAAATTAGTTTCTGATAATTAAATCTGAAAACACATTAGATAAATAGAAAGATTTTTACTCAGTTGCAGGTCACCTACTGGGGTTTACCTTCCAGAGGACAAAAGCACTCTATCATGGTTTATTGCTATATCTTGTCTGTAGTGCTATTTCCAAATTAATATAAATAGACAGAGCCATGGTGCTTGGAATCTCTTTCTCTTTGTATATCTGACATTGCAATATTTGAAATTTTCCTAATTCTGTCTTTTATGTTTTGGTGTCATAGGGATTACTAAGAGCTGTCCATAATGAAGGTATGCAAGTCCTCTCTCTCACTGAGTCTCCCTATAGTGATGGAGAGAACTGTTCTGTTCAGCAAATTTCAGAGTCATGGCTAGAAGAAAGAAGAGCTTACCTCAGTACAATCTCATCTCTTAAGGATTTAATTACCAAAATGCAAGTGCATAGAGAAGCTGAGGTACTCAAAGAACATTTTGCCTCCCTGTAGTTTCATATGATTTTTATCACTAAGGCATTTTACAAATTAAATTGTCTTTTGTAATGTATTTTAACACGAACCAATACATATTGTCATAATGATCCAAGTCATACATTTGCAAATAAATGTATACTTTTAGGTTTTTAATATTTATTTTGGTTAAACAGTTAGTCATTTTATCATGTTTTTAAAATATGCTTATATGAAAACTAACTTTTTTTTTTATGTCAATAGGTTTATGATAGCTCTCAATCTCATGAGAGCCTGTCAGACTGGCGAGGTGAACTTCTGCTTGCCCTTCAGCAGGTTTTCTTAAAGGAGCACAATGTTTTACTAGCTGTGTTTCAGACCGAGCTTTCAGCTCTAGGTACTAGAGATGGAGCTGCAATATTAAACTGTTTGGAACAGAGGATTCAAGAACAGGTATCAAAATGAATCTTAAATAAAACTTTAAAGTCAAGACTATTTTTTAATCATAATACAATGTGTTACTGAGTAATTTTCGAATAACTATGAACATTAAAATTTTAATGGGCCATTAAAAATGTTTAGGAGTAAAATTACTATGTAAATTTTTGTTAGAAGATAAAAAAGACTGAAAATTAATAAGGTAATCATCCAACATAGAAAGTCCTTTTAAAAAGCAACAGAATAAACCTAAAGTAAGTAGGAAAAGTAAGATACAATAGTTAGGGTCTACAAAATTCTACAAAGTTGCTATGAATGTTGAGCCATTGCTACTGGGAAACAGAGTAGAAGTTCAGCATTGTTTTCATTATAATGTTAATAAGGACAAAATAATCAATTCCCAGCTGTAACTACTGTCAGTATAGAGTTTGCACTTTCTCCCCATGACTCTATGCATTTTTAAATACATATTTAAAAATTTCTGAAATACACCTGGAATATCTTGTTTAGCTGACAAGAAAGGAATTGTTCAGAGAATTTCCCACTCTCCAAATTTTGGACAATTTGACCATCAAACTGTTAATGGTAGTGACTGTGAGCCAATGAATAATAGAAGAATTTACAAATTCAGATTATATAAATAAATAAAAATTGGTTCTTGTAGTAAAATGCCAACTTCTGTGTACAAGAAATGATAAAATTAGTAAGCCACTATTATGCATTACAATAATAATTAGTTCAAGTAATAATTAGCAGATGATGCTAAAATTAGTATGGAAAAGTTAGATCAGAAAAATTTATTTAAATAATCTCAAAATAAATTTCAAAAAAATCCTTTTATTTACAAAAGCAATAACTTCACAGTGGAGAAATCTTACAGATAACACTATAACTAGAAGGTCATTGTTTCATATCACCAATAATGGAACAAATTTATATCATGTACTTCCCAAAATTTTAGCAGCAATGTATGTTCTGTTCTTTCTTCTTTAGACTTGGTGGCTAATTTTGTTTTCTTTAGATCTCTCTTTGCTAATTTTTTTTTTCTTTTTACTTTGCATTGTTACAGAGTATTGAATATCAAGCAGCTATGGAATGCCTGCAGAAAGCAGATAGAAGGAGTTTGTTATCTGAAATTCAAGCATTGCATGCTCAAGTGAATGGTAGGAAAATGGCACTGAAAAGAGAACAAGGGAATGATCAACCAAGTCAAGGTATGTTGTAAAACAGACTCAGATGATGTCAGATGTAAGTGGAAATATATCACTTTTTCTTTCTTACTATTCAGTTTAAACGCTCTCATAGTCACATTTTCTTCTCATTCTGAACATCAGGAAGGTGATCTATATTCATTACTGTAGGAACTAAAAGATTGTCCAATTGGTATTAATTATTTAAAATGAGTAACATTACCTTGATCTAGTTGTTTAGGTTGGTTAGCCCATAAAGTTCATTTTCTTTCTCTGTTTTGAAGCTGTTCATGAGGATAATCACAAAAAAAGAAACGAAATTCACAGTGAATGTAACTTTTTTAATCCTTTTTTAAAAACATGAGCTGTAACACACATAGTGAAAAGGACAAAATTCAAAATTATAAAGGATAACAAATTATTAAATGAGTATCTTTGAAATACCACTTATATCAGATATCCCCAAACCCCCCTTCACAAACTCATAATCTTTAATAACCCACAAGTAACCATCACCCTGATTTTTCCTTAATTTCACTACCTAGCTATATAGTTATAAACAGTTTAAGGATTTTTATGCTTTGTACTTTATAAACTCTGGATGTGTTTATGTCTTGCCTCTTTCACCTCCTCTACAACATTTTTCTAAAGCATTGCTTATATTGCTAGTTCATTTTTGTTACTTTATAGAGTTCCTTTATGTGAATATTCCATAATTTTTATATATACATGCTGTAGTCAAATGTTTGTCTTCTAATTTTTAGTTATTAGAATAGTGCTGATTTGCACATTGCTATACCATACTTCTGATGCATTCATGCTTGAATTTTCTGGAAATGTACTCGGATTAGAATTGCTAGCTGATAGAATACTTTTCAGAATTATTTGATAATTACTGAATTGGTTTAGTTCATAATCACTAGATTGTGCGCTAGCTGAATTTGTCCTTTTCTGATGTGCCTGTTCATGTCTTACCCCCACTTTTCAATAGGAGTGTCTTTTAAAGTGAAATCTAACTTTCATTATTTCTGATAAGCTTTTTTTCACTTTGTTTAATTTGACAAAACACCTGTGCTTTGGCAAATTTGAAAGTTACCAAATGTGCTCACGTTTGTCAATTTGTCATTGAAAAACGAAAGAATGTACGTATTTTTAGATACTTCCAAGAAAACAGGTATAATGAGGTTACAAATAAAATATATCCTCTATATTTTAGACATAGGATTACTTGACTACTTTTAGAAAATGGAGCAGTATGGTTTTACTTGAGTTAAATAAAACTCCATTGAAAACTTAATTATGATCATATAGCTATGTATTTATATGTGAAAATCCTTAGCACCTCTCTAAGAAATAGCTTTCAAAGTCTAAATTAACATGATCATCTCCTGAAGTCCATGTAATTCCTGTCTCTTAATGTCAATAATATGAATTATAATATAAAGTGATGAATTTTTTTGTATTAAAAATACATGGTGGAATACAGAAAAAATCACCTCCAGAATCTCCTAAATTCTAAACTGATGGCCAATAAATCCCTGGGTATATATGTTTCAGATCTTTTCCATGTATATATGTGCATAAGTTTATATTTTTCACAAAGGATGGAGCTGGAAGGGATTGTGCTCAGTGAAATTAGGAAGAAAGAAAAAGAAAATACCAGATGAAGAATATAAGGGACCCAAATAAGGAATCGGGGGGGGGGGGAATATAATAAAATCAAAATCAACAGGTAACCAACTATA